AAAAATTTAAAAAAAACACAAATAAATACACACTCTGACCCAAGACCCCTGTTACGCGCCAATGTGTGCCCTTGTGCGGACAGGGGAACATCTAGATGTGTATAAGAGACAGGCATTATATGGGTCTTGGTTATTGTTTACTGTCTTTTTTTTATCAGTCTTTTAACTGTTTTGACGGAGTTCTCCATTTGTCCGTTTGATTGAGAATGACCTGGGCTAATTTTCGTGTGTTCTATTCCCCATTCTACCGTAAATTTTTTATATACTTCAATGTCAATGCATGGGCAATTATCGCCTACAATTCTACACGGAATTATAGTTTGATTATTTCGAAATAAGATTCCATCGCAAACAGTGAGCTCCTCTTTAACTTTGTAGTACGGTCGTGCCTCAAAGGGGACATCCTTTATGTTGTCTGGCCACTTAGTTTCTATGAGAACTTTTACTTTCATTAGGGCTTCGTCTTGTGCGGCATGAGTTTTAGTTCCGACAACTTTTGATCAGTAATTGGCAATTGGCCGGTTATGCTCGCGACCAAGTGCGTATCTGTTGTTGGCGCTTCGCGATTAACGCTGTGCGACTGAGCGCGTCCGGTATCAAGTTTTCTTTACCAGGGATCCAAGTTATCTTAAGATCATATCTTAAAATTGCTAACCTCATTCGCTGTAAACGCGGGCATAGCTTATGTAATGGCTTTGATAATATTCCGACAAGTGGTTTGTGGTCGGTTTCAACAATGGTTCTGCTCCCAAATATATAGTCATGGAAGCGTGTGCATCCGAATAGAATAGCGCACATTTCCTTCTCTATTGGGGCATATTTTTTTTCAGCGTCATTTAATCTACGCGACGCATACGTTATTGGTTATTTATCCTGGCAGATCATTGCCCCAAATCCTTTATTACTCGCGTCGGACGCCAAGGTAACCTGTTTTTTAGCATCGTAGTATTGAAGCGCTGGCACCGATGATGCAGCTTGAATCAACAATTGAAATGCTTCGTCATGTTCCACTCCCGGGCAATGCCCTTTTTTAGTAGGAGTCTGAGGGAGTCAGTAAGTTTGGATAAAGTCGATTAAATTTAGCTAAATAGACCATAATGCCTAATAACGTTTCTAGTTCCGCTTTGTTTTGCGGCTTCGGCATTTCCTTAAGTGCTCGTACCCGTTCGGGGCAGGGTTTAATACCCTTGTTAGTAAGTAGATGACCCGAGGGCTCTACTTGGTTGGTGTTTATTATTGATTTTTCCTTTTTTAATTTAATGCCGACTCACGTACTCGGCTAAGTAACCTATTTAACCTTTCGTCGTGTAGATTTGGCTGTCTCCATAAACAAGCAGATCGTCAACGATAATGCCTACACCCTGAATGTCGCCAAATTGCTCGATCATAGCTCGTTGCCATATTTCTCCCGCCGAAAAAATACCAAAGGGCATACGGTTAAATTTACATCTTCCCCATGGGGTATTAAATGTCGTGAGTTTCGATGACTCGTCGGTGAGTTCCAGTTGCGTCAAATTTGGAGAATATTTTAGCGTTGGGCATTTTGGCCGAAATTTGCTCAATGGTAGTCATTGGCTAATGTTGCCGCTTAATCCCTTTGTTTAACTCTCTAGGATCTAAACATATCCTTATTTTGCCGTTCGGTTTTAATACCCATTCGGGTATTAATTCGGTTTTGGCTTACCCATTCTGTGGGCTCTGCTATTGGTTCAATTACGCCCAACTTGATCATTATGTCCAGTTATTGCTTTTAATACTTTATCTTTAATTTTGTGAGGTATCTGCCTTGGGGGTAATTGTACCGGTGGTACACTAGCACCCATCTGTATGTTATATTCTCTCTTAGAGAGACATCCTAATCCTTCGAAAAGGTCCTTGTTCTGCGTAAGTAGGCCTAAGGGATTTACGTTTGTCATAGTTACAATATTTGATTCAACTCTTTTTATTAAGCCTAGCGATTCACATGAGGTAATGCCTAGTAAGGGTGTAAACTGACCTTTCATTACCTGGAAATGAGTATCTTTACATATTTTGGTTTTACCAACCTTAGTTTTTACACTTAGTGTGATTTGGCCTACCGGCTAATGACATGATTACTGTAAGTTTTCAATCTTACTTTACTTTTATCCATTAGTTTCATTGTTCCTTTCTGCATCAGTTCTAGCATTGTATATGGGAGTATGTTAACTTCTGCACCTGTGTCTAGTTTGAAAGTCACTGGGAATTCGTTTGGTTGCCATTCTTTGCGTACTGTGTCTACGCTAACACCATTTATTTCGAAAAGTTCAAGGTTGTCATCGCTCGTTTCTTCTTTCCGTGTTATGGATTCCGAATTTACTTGCCTTACAGCTTTTTTCGGTCGCCTTTGATTTGGGTGCGACGTCCATTTCTGGGGTCGTGGTTGTTTTGTCTCTCTTTGCTTTTTAAAACACATTTTGGACCAATGTCCCTGTTGGTTACAATAATGACAGGATTAGTTCAACGCTGGACATGGTTTCTTCCAGTGGTTTCTGCACGCATCTTAAGCAACGTCCAGTGCTTTTGTGTTGTAGTTATTTGTTGGGGTTGTTCGGTTTGGCCTTATCCCGAGACGTATATTGTTTTGATCTAATGGCGTTAATCGTGGGGGATGCTGTTGCCTCGCCAATGTCAGTCATTTGGCGTTTTGTTCCTTCATACGTCCTAACTATGTTGATCTTTTCGTCCTTATAGGCCGGTTCCCACTGAACGCGATCAAGCGAATTTCGCGTCGAAATGTGGCGCGCGCGGCTGAATCGAAGACGCGATCGGCGTTTCCAATGTGAACATGCAAACGAATTTGTAGTCGAACACGAGAAGCCCAATATTCGAACTTTGACGCGGTGCGCGCGGTGGTCGCAGAGGCTTCGCCTGCGAATTCACAAGAGTTGATCCAAGACCAACTTTTTCAGATTCGCGAGCGAATTCGCGGCCGATGGACCAATCGCAAGGCTTAGATTCAATTATGTCAAAGGTCAACAATAAAGTCACGACCATTGTCAAAACAATGTACAGATACAGATGTGCGAGCGATGACCGACGAGTCCGTTTCATGCAAACTCTGTGGAACAGTAGGCTACCCTTGTTTAGGTCTGTGACAAGGAAGCAAAGAAAATATGTGACAATGCGTGGAAAAGGATTTGCAGAAACGAGTTGAGTTATCTCCTCTTTCTACCAGTGATAGGCCTGTTCAGCCTTGGCATCTGATACCCTGCTACTACCAGAGACCTACAGTAGGGTAGGGTAGGCTAGGCCTACTATCTACCCTTAGGAGGCCTAGCTCTAGGCCTTGAATAAATATACTTAAAAATAACTACAGTATGTTTATATTCACTCTTTTCATTCATTATAGAGTTCTGGAAATGTTAATCCTGAGGATTTTATCTGATTCGTCTCACAACCTTTTTCCTCCGTCTATCAATGCGATAACAAAATCCATTCTCTGTTGCCACCCGCCATTTCGAGTTTTTGCGCGCGGTCAGCTCAGCAGTGGGAACAGGCAAGCGAATCATTAGAAGCGAGACATTCTTTACCGAAAGTCAACTCTTGTGAACTTTGCGCGATTCGCTTCGCTTGCCGTGTGATGCTCGACGCTTTCGCTTGACAAGTTAAGTGGGAACCGAGGAATGTTATCATTGTATAAGCCTGCTATTAGTGTGTCTAATAACTTTTCATCTTTGTTTGTGTACTTACATTGTTCCAATATAATCTTCGCTCGTGTTATAAAAGCATCAACTGTTTCCGTTTCCCCTTGTTTTAATGCTCGCAACTGAAAACGTGCGTCATGAAAATTTGATTTTGGCTTGGCGTATGCTTCATAGTGTTCCCAATGTACTTTTAAAAGTTTTGCATCGTCCTCCGATAAATTCCAGCTATCTCTGATGTCTCGTCCCAAGTCTCCTACCCACAGTAGCAAATATTGTACCTTTATACTTTCTTCTTTTTTAGAGAGAGGACCGTCAACAATCAGGTTGCACGCTCTCCAAAACTTGCGCAATGCTTCCGGCAGGTTCCAATCAATGTTTGGGATGGGCACTCCCGTCGATTCTGCCATTTTCAGTGTTTAGATGACGTACTTCTACAACAACTTGTTGTCTATATGCTTCTGGGTTCTTCTGACACCATGTAATGTCCTGATATTACGTTATAATATCGAAGACCGTTGATTAATTAGGTTAACTGAAGACTCAAAATAAAGACGATGTGCACCGTTTGCCGTGCATCTATCAAGGGATTTATTCAATACATTAGCATCATCTTGCTCAACATATTTTACATAGGTGGCGCTATATACATAATACATCAAACAGTGTATGGGCCTACATCTGACTCGTGTGCACTTTAAAGACGCCATTCACATCTTTGGAAGACTAAGGGTTATCCCGATGCTGTGGTTCATTTCAGCCACTGTCATTGTAATATGATATAATATAACTAAGCGCCTCTCTACGGCTTCTAAATTATAGTTCACGGACCACGCCATATGCAATTCAGAACAATAACGGTGCGAGTTATGGGTTATTCTCCTACCTTTATCTTTTTCTATTGAATTTGGAGTTTAGAGTAGGGCTACATTTTAAATATCCGCTTTATATAATAATACAGTAAATATCATGTATGATTTCAATAATTTAGTGATATATTTTATTCTGTGTCGATCACACAATTGAATAGAAATGTTTTATGGCCAGTGTCATTGTGTCTATTTTCACCAAAAACACGGGTAACCTCATTGATAGCACTGCTTTCCACTGGGGCCTTCCAATCATCAAAATACATGGAATACGAACTTTAAAAATGACAAAAATACAAATTTAAAAATACAATTTATGATATTCAACTATCATAAAATATTTACATAGAAAATATATTGATTATATAACATAGTTATTCGATTTTTATTTAATTATTAACACTTACTAATTACAATTTATTTTAGAATCATTAATTAAATTGTGTTTTATAAACGTCTGGTCTTTCAGATAAGCCTATCAAATAAATTACCATAAAGGGAACCTGAAAAATAGAACTATCTTTGTGCAAGCATAGAAGTCTTGGGCAAGCTGACAACTGTTTCAAATCAGGAATCATCAACACTAAATAAAAATCCTCTTTGTTGTGGAAACATATTACACGAGAATGCTTACTACGACATCTCATCTTTTTTGTATTTTATTCCTGCTGTATTTTTATGAATGTCATTACGGCACGGAGTGTGTACTGCATAACAATGGAATAATCAATCAAGACTTTCTAATGCCAGATGTCCGTTTAACAGAGGTAATTCACAAATTGGATTATTGTTTGTATAAAACTGTAAAACCTCATATAATCCTCGCTATTTTTAGGACCCTTTCGATTGGTTTCTTTTCATGTGATCGCCTTTTTCGAAATGCATATGGTTATATTTGGACTTGCTGCTATAAACCTGTATAGGACTACTCAAGACATTTTTCAACAATGGAATTAGAAATATTTAAAAAATAAATAAAAAATAAAAACATTGTTTTTAATTAGGTTATGATGATCATAACATGCCGACGACAATCTGCTAGACTACTAAATATAGCCTATAGATATATATTATATAATAAAAACCATGTTCACAGTTTCTGTCCTGTTATTGAATATTCACAACTTCATAGGAATGTTAATTCAATTGAGGATACTGTATATAAATATTTTAATGTGATTATTTTATAGCCGGATGAGTACATATGTACTGCAATACCTGTCACTCAACGTAATGTATATATAGGTGAGTTTTACTTTTTCATTTGCAATTAAGCTAATTAAGAAATGTGCTCGCTAGCAAATAGATAGTAAAATATAAAAAATATATAACCCTATATTTAATTAAATAATTAAATTTCTCATTTCTGGAATAAAGAGTAAATCATTAAATTGGCTCAGATTTAGGCAAAAATGTGCTCACAAGACGAATACTATATATACCGTCGCTCACATCACGAACTAACACAATCAAAAGTAGATTGTGTTAGTTCGTGAAATCACAGTAGCGCGTCAAAACGAGCGCGTATTGGTTGTCAAGCAATTTTGTATTCTTTACCACACAAAAAGTCCTTAACGACAATAGCGCGTATTTTGACGCGCTTTTTTGATTTCACGAACTAACACAATTGAATTTAATTGTGTTAGTTCGTGATGTGAGCGACGATACATAGCATGAAGTGAATTAAAAACATTATTTCAATCACGATTGATAGAAAAAAAAAACGTTTTCCGCTCTTCGGTCTTCGTTTTGTAAACACCCATATAGGGTGTCTATAAAACGAGGACCCTTGATAATTGCACAAACAAAAGTTCAAATAACCTCGTAATTATGATTTTGTGACAGCCTGGTGTAGTATCATTTCAAAAAAGAGAACAAAATGTCGGTCAGATTCTTCGTTTTTCGGGTATTCGGTCTTCGTTTTGTAGACACCCATATAGGGTGTTCTTCAGACTCACTGATCATTGTAGTCAAAAGCAACATCTTATTCTACAGTTCAGCAATTTAAGTTTGTCCAATAGTTTAATCATACAGAAATTAAAAAAAAAAAAAAAAAAAAAAAAACTTGCTGACAGCATTATTATGCTGAATTTGTACCTAAATTAAGAACGATCGCCTTAGTCAGCACTGAATGTGGCGAGTCCCGAGAGCGATGGGCCAATGCCCCCTAGAAGGTTTTTCAAAACTCTTCATATTTTAGTCTGAATGGAAATGTAAATTGACAAATCAATCTTAATCTATTGCATTAATGAATAGGCCTACATGTTTACAATAGTTAAGTTCACAATAATGTGTAATAGGCATATCTTAGAGTTGTTGCACTGTCTTCTAAAAATGTTGTTTGCAGGTTGCCAAGTCCCGTGCTTTTATTTGTGTTGAAGTCTGCTAAGATTGTGCATGATACAGTCTTCATTAAACTTCTGACAGCATGAACTTGTTTGAGAGAATATTCCTATAGATTCACAAAAAGATTTAAAAAAAATCAAAACTAGTATCAAAAATGCGGTCCAGAACTAGTATCAGAAATATTTAGAAATTTATGATTTTAATAATTATTTTTTAGCTTTCGCCTACACCCCTGAAAAGTTAACCAAGACTTGAGAGGATGTAAAAAAAATCAAAACTAGTATCAAAATGCGGTCTAGAACTAGTATCAAAAATAGGTAGAAATTTATGATTTCAATAATTAGATTTAGCTTTCGCCTACGCTCCTGAAGAGTCAACCAAGACTCGAGAGGATGTCAAAATGACGTGAATGATGTGAAAACTTAGATGAATTGATAAATTATTGTTATTTCAAAATTGTCAGTTATTGACAATCATATTATTACTTTCCTAATCACAACAAGCTATTTGACAGCCAGGCTGTTGAGTTAGTTTAACATGGTATAACAAAAGGGATCTTTTTTATTTTCATGTTCAACTAATACAAAGATTTTTGTCATTGGTATTCGGAATTGGTATTTCGAATAGCTAACCCTCTGACTTAATTTATTATAATCCTGAGTCAATCATTCCTCGAATAATATCCGTTAAAATTAGAATTATCGAGTTTTGTCCAATTAATGGAAATTTAAGTTGAAATATATCATAATTTCAAAGCTCATGTAAATGATTCATTAAATTCGAAACTCTTTTTTTGCCAAAAATTTAAATATGTTTGGTATTTCCTGAAGGGTAATGTATTAACTTCATTGTGGAAACGTTTGCGCAGCCACTGTGATTGGCTGTAAGTTGTGCGCATTGAGAACAGAAGGTACTCTCCATTTCACAATGTTCAATTTTTTGGTAAACTGCGCCTGCTGAGCATTTGGTGGCGGGGAACACATTGCTTGCGCGGAGCTTTTTCGAATGATCTCCTTTGCAATAATACTTCCATGACAATTAGTAGTCTACCAGAAATGTACATCAAAAGATATTTCTTCAAATTTAATTTAGTGTATCTGCCATTCTGTACCATGTTGTTTGATTTTTTCGACACCTTTGCCGTTATTTTCTTTAGTATGATAGATCACCATAATGGATTTGACACATCTTGTTAATTCTTTTTATTCTTATTTTCTAAATCATTAGTGAATGTCGTACCAAGAGCTAACACGGATGCAGTTCAACATATGACGTTGCTTGGACTTGCCGCAATAGAAGAGCACCCTAACAACGCATGGTATATATCACATTTAAAATCAATATTGCAGTTCCACATACACATTTATGTAGCTTTAATAGTGTCACACTAAAAGTGAACTGAAATGATGAGGAATAATGGGGTAACAGCCAAATAATAGTACAATGCAAAACAAGTTAAAATATAAAAGTCTTTAATAAATATATTTTAAAATGCATCTTCTCTTGCCCTCAACAACATAATGTTTCTTCCCGACGGTTTATCGTTGCACATATAACATAACTATTCAACTACCATGGTATCAGACATGCACAGGCACAGGTGGCACTATAACAAATAAAATCAATTTTCTAATAACCACCATTCATTTCATTACAATTAATCATTTAGACAAGCCTATGATAATTATAAGAATTCACTAATTAGTAAAACAAAAATAATGAATTTGTACTCACAACGAACATCTAAATTGAGGGCTGTCTTGACGACACCTCCCTTACGTGACCGTAAGTAGTTCGTATCGTTTGAGGTGTCTCGCGTGACTTGGCATATTTTGTTTTCATACGGTGGTACACCTCACACAATGATTACGCTAATTAAGGTCATGCTTAATTGCTTCCATTATAAATACGCAAATTATAGCGCTAGATAGATGATCGTTTTAACCGTGACAAATAGATGTGTATATACGTAGTTATGTATGTTGTTACTCTGCACTACGTTACTTGTTTATGATATAGATTGGGAAAAAATAGAATTTGACGCCCGTATTCTTAAAACGAACTTTAGTCGAACTTCGAACTAGAACTTCATTTAGTCTTAGTTGCAACTTCAACTTCTATTTGTATTCACAAACAACGTAGTAGAAGTTCTAACTACGACTAAATCAAGTCCTAATTGTAGTTTAGCTGAAGACGGCTGGCAAGCAACAACTACCAAACTAACCAATAAAAAGAGCTAATTTTAATAGTAGACGAATATTTAGAGATCCGGTAACGCGGAAGAATATTAAACTGCCGTCTGTCTTTCAAAAACATATTTCCTCATAAGTCATAATTGACAATTATTCGCCTAACTAATATTCTATATTAATAACTATATTAGTCGTTAACATCTAACGATAGAGAATTTCAACTAAAAATTTGCTTTCTTTTTTTTTTTTTCTCTCTCTTTTGTGGGAGTTGCACCTACTTTTATTTCATTTCTCTTTTCTTAGTTTAATAACATTTTTTTTTTTTTCTTTTTTTCTACACATGAAATAATGACATACTGCTAATAAAGGCCATTGAATAATAATAATGTATTTCGTAGTTTAACATTATTTTCATTATAATATTTCGAATCGAGCGAGGGCGGAGCCATCATTGTTGTTATTAAATATTTCAAGTCGGCGATTTAGCCTGACCCTAGGCTGACTAAAAAAATCGGCCTGTGGAGGTATAATTTTAGGCGAGGTTCGCGTCATTTAGTCGTAGTGCTAGTCGAAGTTCGTTTAAAGAATACGAAATGACCGGGGTTAGTCACATTTGAATTTAGTTTCAAATACAGACTGTCTAATTTTGTTGACATGTAAAAAAAAAACCAAGCTCATGGTCCTAGATACTTATTCCTAAATAATAGAATGCATCATCTTATTATTCTTTGTGCACCTGGGCCTAGCCTCCTTGGCTTACCTTAGGCCGGGCTCCATGGCCCAGGCCTATCATCGATTCAGAATATGAATGCCAATACGCCAAGATTCATCATACTGATTAATTTTATAATGAATTTTATACATCAGAAATTCATTGCTTACTAATTATAGGACACTTAGGCCTACTACACTGAGGAACTATCTTACTCTAGGCTCACGATACAATTACAAGGACAGTACCGCACTCCCACGAATAAATATTTTTGGCTCTTTTTGGGGAGCGCTTACTCAAACTGGGCACTTATTGAAATATATGAAAATTGACAGGGTGCTTATGGGAAATTAAAACATTCAAGGGGCACTTTTTTTTAATCGAAGATAAACGAATGGTTTCGGTGAAGAAAATGTAATCGTCAAGAAAGCATGGCTCATAAATGTTGTTTTCTTGCTAGTGATGAGGTCAGTTCATTTTTGTTGACTGATAATGGCCATACAGTATTTGAATTTTTAGATATTCAATACTGTAGTTCTAAATCCAGAAAGGGTACCGTATCAATAAAACAAGAACGGCATTCTAAAGATGCATCAAAACTCAAAACCATGTTAAACTTAATGGAGACTCAGAGACCGACAGATGGATGGACTGACCGACCGACCGACAATACTAAGATAGATGAAAATAGTTGATGTAGAAAATTAAGATGGTGATGTAGGCCCCTACCTGTACTATACTGTATAATTGAATTTTTTTATGAATCTAGGGGCGTTTATTCAAAATTATTAGAATTTTTTTTTTATGGATCGCTTATAGAAATAGATGAAAATGTAATTTCTTCTCCGCACTCCACTGATATATATGTTCTATATTAAAATAATGTTAAGACTCTGGCTTACTAATTCAGTAGTGGAAGCGGCTTGGCGCAGCGTGAAAGATTTGGTTTCCCAACCTCGAGGTCGGGGTTTCAATCCCTCGCTGTGCATTTCGCTTGTGTCCTTGAGCAAGACACTTTATCTGCATTGCTTCTCTCCACCCAGGAGTATAAATGGGTACCTGGTGGGGTTGCTTACTCCTGCGCTGAATACAGCAGCAACACTAAGCATGTGGATCCAATGACCAGGGACAGAAGCGCTTCGTATCTGCAAAGAAAGGCGCTATATAAATAAATATGATTAGATTAGTGTGATTATTATTGTGATTAAATTGTCATTAAAAAGTGATTGTATACATAATTATCATGAACTACCAAACAATCGTCCAACTGTTTTGAAAAAGTAATCTGTAAAAATAATACTACATTTTCGTGATCAGTTTAACATGCCTATAAAGTTTTAACGAACACGTTTGTATCCAACATGACGACGAATATCAGTATTCTTCGATTGTAGAAAGTCCTGAATGAGAGCACGATGAGCACCAAGCATGACATAGCCGGTGAACTGCAATACCGTACTCACGCGAATAAACGCACCGTTTGAATAAGCGCAAAAATAATATCATAAGATTTTATTTTTAGCAAGTCAATAATCCAATCAATTCCGGGACTGTGGTTTTGGCACGATTTGAGCTGCAGAGTGGAATCACATTCTTCTTACTGTAGGTCAATATCCAAATGAGGATATTTCTCTCGGACAGATGAGAGCCCGATCGCTACACAGACAGTACCGTACATTTCCAACTTTCCTCTTCTTACATATTTGTCAGCCGATGGCCAACAAGCTAACCACCACCCACCACCACTAATTGCATCTGCTATTTTGCTGTTATGTAAATATTCACAGCATTCTTGTCATGAGCCATGTTCTCTGGACGATTATCTTTTTCGCCTAACCACCATTCGTAATGTCCTTGTATAATCTTTTTCCATTCAAAAAGTGCCTCTTGAATTTAATACTTTCCCTCGATTTTCATCTATTTCCATAAGCGCCCCCTCAATTTCCACTTTGTTTTCATAAGCTCCCCGTTTAAATAAGCGCCCCGTTTGAATAAGCGCCCCTCAGAAAGTGCACAAAATATTTAAGCGCTTATTCGCGCGAGTACGGTATGTGGCGTACAAAGTTGCGAGGGATGTACGCAAGAGCCATGATGGAGCACATTTATCTGTCGTACGTCATAACCCCTTGTTTTGCATTTGAATCCCCTTTTGGAAAGAGTGAACTAATTCTCTCCATATCTTCGCTTATTAAATTAATCATTGTAATTTAGCTTACACTTATGAATTTAGGGAGCACTTAAAATGTACAATAATCGTTTCAATACCCGACAAACTCCGAAATTTATTCATGCATTAGGCCTACATAATAGTTTCATCTTGCTGTACTATATACTCCAACATCACTGGCGCACGGCGTCCAGTATTTAGCGATATATCCAAGGCTCCAGTAGGCCTACCATGCATAAGGCAACACCGACTAGTCTTACCAGTAGTCTTCTTATAATGAAGAGTATGGTTGAACACCCACAGACTTGAACCCTTTTTTTTATAATTTTAACAGAACATGTCTAAAATAATAATAATTAGGCTACTATCTACAAAATTATAAACATAATTGATGTTGTTATGAAACAACTTATTTCATTATATATATAAGTATATATATATATATATATATATATAATATATATATATATACATATACATATACATAATTATTATTTTTATTAGGCCTACTATACAGATACACACATATTATGTGTGTGTGTCTGTATAGTAGGCCTCTATACTGACACACACCTAATATTATGTGTGTGTGTCTGTATAGTAGGCCTAATAAAAATAATAATTATTATTACTATAATTATAATGTAGTTGGTCTTTTGTGTATCCGAATAAATATTTAGTATTATTGTGTTTAAGTTAAATTCCACTTCACGGATAATGTGTCCGAAAATCATGAAGAAACACACAGTACTGTAAAAAAAATATCACAGTAAGTAACATGGTAACATTATAATTAATTGTAAAAATTATCACACACTGTTTGTATTTTTTAAGTTATGTTGATGCCTTATAAAACAAGTCCCATTACCTTATATTAGCAATGTTGATACTGATAATATTGGTCATCATCATCATCGTTATCGCCATTGGTATTATTTAATTATTGTCATTGTAATGATAATTATTAGATCTATAATATCATTGTGCTTATTAATGTTGTACTTTACTGCATACGTCAAGTAGGCCTAACATAATGAAAACTTGAGGACATGCTCACTGAACAGTTCACTGCGCACCTTAACACAGTAAATGAGGCAAAACCGGACCCACTTTTCTCACAAAATCGACTGTATAATTTGAATGGTTTCATATGGCAATCTGGGGCGACCGGATTATGAAACTAGATGTTTTAAACTTTATAATTATCTACATATTCTTACAATTAATGCAAAATTGAGTAATCATTT